TTATCTCGAGCCACCTGCACAGTCATTGGTATCCTTGAATCCATTGTCGCAGCCACACGGTCTTTTTAGTGACTTCCAATCTAGGGAACTCATCTTCCAGACAATATTCTGTCATAAATCACAGGGCTTTCAAGGGTTAATTTTTGCAAACAGATTTCTGGTGCTTTCTTGCTGGTCTGTCCTAGGCTGTAAGCACCAACCACCATGGTTGGCCCTGTCCATATTTGCAATATTGGAGGCATAGCTTCCAGCATTACAGCAGCATGAGAGCTACCAAAGGGCAATAAACTGACAGTGTGGAGATGATGTATGACTTCCTCATCTTCCCGTCTGCTTTTACCTTGCTCTCTTCTGTTCACACTTCCAGTCTTGTTTTCCCAGGAGCCCTTTTCTGCCTGCTTCTCCCTCTTCCAAGACTTAGATGGGTTGCCCCTTCTCTTAGAGTCATGCTTGGGGAAAGGGTAGGGGCACTCAGGGCATGACCTCTGGAGCTGGAGGCACACCTTGACAAGCCCCCAGGGGGCTGAGCTGCAATCACAGGAACTGGTGCTCACATGGCCTACCAAGGAGGGTGGCTGTAGGGCCTCTGTCCCACTGAGTGGGGCCTATGGTTTAGGGCCAGGGTGGGGTGGTTCTGGAATAGTCTAGAGGAGGCAAGCTAGGCCTGTCTCCTTGGAGGCAGCTTCTCTCAAATAAATATCAATAAATGCCAAAGCACCATGTTTGAGAAGAACATCAAGGTGCCACCCAACAGCTCAGCCTTATCTGCCAATCATATTGCTGTAAATTTCCATTGAGTTACCTCCGACTCATAGCAACCTCATGTATAGGGCAAAGCCCTGCCCTGTACTTCCCCACAGTCATTGGTATATTTGAGCTCCCTCATTTGTAGGGTGGTTGTCTGCAATGGCCTGCTTAGCCCTCCTGCCCTCACATCACTCTCTAAACTAAAAGCCCCATTAATACATGATCTGACTTTCTTATCTCCTTTCTTATCTCTGTCTCTAATACTTAACAAGATCCTGGCTTGTAAGTGGTTCTTGGTACATTCTTGTAGAATAGAGTGATTGTTGTTGTTGTTGTTATGTGCCGTCGAGTCACCTGCGACTCAGAGCGACCCTATGTACAACAGCCCTAAACTCCACTCTGTCCTGTGCCAATCGCACTGTCTCCGACACTCCCATCCCAATTATCCCAGTCACTGAA